TGACAACCCAGGTTCAATCCTTGGCATCCCATGAGATGCCCCAGGAGTAATTCTTTAGTGCAGCACCGGAAGCAAACTCTGAGCATTGCGAGGTGTGTCACCCCATCCCCAAAAAAGTGTTCATAGACCTTGTGATTCTTTTGCCTTTTAGGTTTTGTGCTACCTGGGGCAGTGCTCAAGGGGTCACTCTCATTGGTGTTGGGGGCAATCAGGTAGTGTTGGGGATCAAATCTAGTAAACTGCATGCTTAGTATGTGCTCAGTCTATTATTATCTCTACGATTTGTGTCATAGGTTTTTTTTTTTCTTTTCTTTTTGGGTCACACCCACGATGCTCAGGAATTGCTCCTGGAAGTGCTTGGGAGAACATATGGGATGCTGGGAATCGAACCCAGGTTTGTCGCGTGCAAGGCAAACACCCTACTCGCTGAACTATCACTCCAGCCCATTTCATAGATTTTTTTTTGGCTTTTTGAGGTCACACTCGGCGATGCACAGGGGTTACTCCTGGCTTTGCACTCAGGAATTACTCCTGACAGTGCTCAGGGGACCATATGAATGCCAGGAATCAAACCCAGGTCAGCTGTGTGCAAGGCAAATGCCCTATCCATTGTGCTATCACTCCAGCCCTCCATGTCATAGGTTTTTAAACTCAGTTTCTGTGGACCTAGAAAATATTTTGTTTTCCCTTATTCATAAGTTCTTATGCGGGGTAAACAATTCGTCTTTTTCTTTTTTCTTTTTTTCAGTTTTTGGGCCACACTCAGTGGTGCTCAAGGCTTAGTGCTGGCTCTGCACTCAGGCATCACTTCTGATGGACTCAGGTGCCAGGGATTGAACTCTGGTTGGTCGCCTATAAGGAAAGCAACCTACACACTGTGTATCTTTCAAGCCCCTGGGTAATTAATTCTATGTTGATGTTTATTTTATTTTTTGGCTTTTGGGCCACACCTAGAGCCCGGCAAGCTACCGAGAGTATCTCGCCCGCATGGCAGAGCCTGGCAAGCTCCCCGTGACGTATTCGATATGCCAAACACAGTAACAACAAAGTCTCCAATGGAGACGTTACTGGGCCCGCTCAAGCAAATCGATGATCAACGGGAGGGCCTTTACCTTTACTAGTGGTGCTTAGAACTTACTCCAAACTCTGTGCTTAGGGATCAATGCTGGCATATGATTGGGGAACCATATGAAGTGCCAGGGATCAGACCCAGGTTAAGTGCATGATGGTTAATTTTTTTTTTTTTTTGGTTAGCATTCTAAAGGTACTGTACTATACTGTACTGTCCTCCCATTGTTCATCAATTTGCTCGAGCGGGCCCAGTAACGTCTCCATTGTGACACTTGTTGTTACTGTGTTTGGTATATTGAATACGTCATGGGTAGCTTGCCAGGCTTTGCCGTGCGGGCAAGATACTCTCGGTAGCTTGCCGGGCTCCTGAGAGGGGCGGAGGAATCGAACCCGGCTCAGCCGAGCAGGCTGCATGCAAGGCAAACGCCCTACTGCTGTGCTATCACTCCAGCCCATTCTAAAGGTAAGAATTTTTTATTTCCTTCATTCTACTGAGGAATTTGTTTTCAGACTTACTGTCCTTTCTTTGTAGATAATTGAAGGTCCCCCCGGATCTAACCCATTTACCACTAATTTTTATTTTACGTGATAGTTTGTTGACACATTTAATTAATCAATTGTTTAGGTCACACCAGAGTGTTCAGGGGATCCGGTGACAGAGATAAAACCCAGGGTTGCCACAGGAGCCTTCTGAGTTCTCTCCATGGCCAAATACTAAGATTTTGTCAACTCAACATGTCACATCAATTTGGTGGTGGGGGGTGGAGCACCACACATGGTGGTTCTCAGGGCTTACTCCTGGCTCTGTGCTCAGGGATCACTGCTGGCAAAACTCCAGGACTACAGAGATCAGACTCAAGTCAGCTGCATGCAAGTGCCCCACCAACTGTACTCTGGCCCACATACAATAGCACAGTGGTAAGGCGTTTGCTTTGCAAGCCGATGGTCCAGCCCAGCCGGGTTCAATTTCTCTGCCCCTCTCGGAGAGCCTGGCAAGCTACCGAGAGTATTTCTCCCGCACGGCAAAGCCTGGCAAGCTACCCGTGATGTATTCCATATGCCAAACACAGTAACAACAAGTCTCACAATGGAGATGTTACTGGGCCCACTTGAGCAAATCGATGAACAACGGGAGGACAGTGCAGTGCAGGACAGTGCAGTAGGAGTATTGCTATTTATTCAGCCATTGATTAGGCTGATTGAATTGGGCATGAACTCCACCTTACTTTTTTTTTCATTTTTTATCATTTTATTTATTGAATCACCATGAGAGCAGTTACAAAGCTGTCGGGTCTAAATCTTGGTCATACAATGAAACACCCATACCTTCACCAGTGCCCATTCTCCACCACCAAAAACCCCAGTATACCCCCAACCCACACCCTCCCCCTACCTGTGGGGCAGATGATTTCCACATTGCTCTCTCTCTACTTTGATCACATTCAATATTTCAACCCCAGACCGACCATTATTATTTGTGATTTTATTGCAACACTCAGATCTGCTGAAAAGGCAAACGTAGACAATTTGTTTTCTATTGCTGATTATAACATATGATATTGCGTGGCCACAGTAGTGGCCACACGATTTTGGAATTCCGAAATTTTAATAATTAAATCTGGAGGGATTTCTGCCCAAACCTGCTGGGTTTCGAGATTTGCTCCTGAGTCTCTGGGATCATGGCCATTAAACAGCTTGATCAGGAGCCAGAGAGGCCGTTTGTGGGTGGCGACTGAGGGTCTAATTGGGGTGGGTAGGAAAGGACCTCACGGGTTGCATGTCTCGTCACTGCGTGGCTCACATCAATTTTTAAGCCTCTGTTCCTCATTAGCCAGATGAAGACAGGAATATTAACCTCACATTTCCATTTACATTAGCACAGAAAATGTACCTAAAAAAAAAGATGTAAAATATTTACATAATAAAATGTACATTAAAAAAGATGTAAAATCCTGCCTACTTGATCTCTACTCTAGTACCCGCTTGTCCACTTTCCCCTAGTTTAGTCGCCTCATACTGCCTAATTCTACAATGCAAATGTGATTTCCTCCTCACCCCCAATTGTATGGCAAAGCCTAGGTACAGTACTGAAGAGTGGAATTAGGACACCAGGGTGTCCACATCAGATTATCCAAGTTCATTTCCTACTGTTCTACGGTTCAAGTTAGTTGGCTGTATTGCAAAATGTAAAACAAAACAAAAGGTCAGAAAAGTACGTACTTGGAAGAGCCAACTCCTGGGATTAAGCATTTAGGAAACCTGGCTGAATCTCTAGTATGAGTGAGTGATACTTCAGTATAGACCCAGGAGTACCTAAGCCCCTCAGGGTGATGGCCTTGCCCAAATAGCAACTACTGAAACAGGGATACAGAGACAGCTCAAAGGTTTGACCCATAGGAGCTTCCATACATAGCATCACTTGGTCCTCACAGCCTCAAGCAGCCCCTGAGCACCCAATAGCAAGGCACCTCCCAGCATAGAGCAGCCTCAGAGTAAGTGTGGCCTAGCCCCACTCTCCCCTAATCAGTTCTTATAGAGGCCATGAATGCACAGTACTTTGGGGCCCGGATGGCACAGTGGGTAGGGCTCTTGCCTTGCACGAAGCCGCCACAAGTAATTCTTGAGTACAGAGCCAGGAGAAATCCCAGAGCAAGCTTGGGTGTGACCCAAAGAGCTAAACAGTGTGTTCACCTACGTGCTTAATAAATGTTAGTATTATTACAATTTTTCACATTCTAGTTGCTGTCCTCTGCCTCACCTAACGAAAGGATAGCACTGTAGCACTGTCCTTCCCTTGTTCATTGATTTGCTCGAGCGGGCACCAGTAACATCTCACAACAAATTATGAGACTTGTTACTGTTTTTGTCGTATCCAATAGTCAACGGATAGGTTACCAGGCTTTGCTGTGCAGGCGAAACACTCTCAGTAGCTTGCCGGGCTGTCTGAGAGGGACGGAGAAATGAACCCAGCTTATCCATGTGCAAGGCAAACACCCTACCTGCCTGCGATAGCTCCAGCTGAAAGGATAAGCACATGCTATTTTCATGACTATTGTGAACCACACTGCAATTGCTTTCTTCTCAGTCTCCGAAACACACAAACTTCTTCAGAATTGCAGGAGATACTGCTCAGCAAGGTGCAGGGAGCAGGCCAGAAAGTAGAAAAGCAAGACCAAAGCCCTCTGGGAGGGTCCCTCACCTTACTCTACTTTGCTTTTCTTTAATATCTTTTCTCTGTTTCTTTGGTTTTGGGGTCACGCTTGGCTGTGCTCAGGGTTTCCTCCTTACTGGACTCGTGATCACGATGGGGTAGGGGTGGGAGGAATACAGCTGAACCGTGTCGGAGGCATTCCAGGCAGGCATACGACCCGCGGTACGATCTTTCCAAGCCCACTTTTCTTGTGAGCTTATGGGGCTTGCATATTCTCTGGTACATAAGGCAGGGATCGAGCCACAATCCTGGCCTCTGCGTTAGTTGCCCTGGAGTGTGAATCCTCTCGTTCACTCTTGGCCAAGACTTTGTGTCTGTCGGCTCGACACTGTCATAGTCACTGCAGCACCGCGCTGCAGCAGACAAGGCTGCAGAGAGAGAAAGGCGGAGATCGGGCCAGGGCAGCTCCTGGCCTCTCCAGTTCCGTCTGCGGCGTCTGCGAGGGAACTGGATATCAGGGCTGGCAGGGAGGCTTCCAGCCACCCGGCGAGCTCCTGTCGCGTCCACGGCAGCCGGCTCCCAAGGTCGCACCTCCCTCCCGGCTCTAGGGGAGCCCGCGGACCGCTCGCTCCGGGCTCCACCGGCGCTTCCGCTTCCGGGGCGGGACTTGGCTCCGCGGCCCCGCCCTCAGCCGGCGCGTTTGCACGGAGCGGGGTGCGGCCGTGGCTGCAGGTGTCTGCAGAATCGGGCCTCGTGGAGCGTCCTCGCTGGGCGTCGCAGGCCGCCAGCGTCTCCCCCTCCTCCTCTTCCAGCGGGGCCTGGGTGGCGGCGGGCCGGGTCCCCGGGTGCCCAGCATGGCGGGGCAGCGGGTGGAAGTGGACGGCGGCATCATGGAAGGGGTGAGTGCGGCGCTGCGCGCGGAGCGGGCTGGGGGTGCAGCCCTGCACGGGGAGCGGTCCCCACCCGTCTCACCGCCTCCTCTTGCCTTGCACACCCTCGGCAGGGCGGCCAGATCCTGAGGGTCACCACGGCCCTGAGCTGCCTCCTGGGCCTGCCCTTGCGGGTGCAGAAGATCCGGGCCGGGCGCAGCACACCGGGCTTGAGGTAATGCGGAGCTGGGACTGGAGAAGAGGGGGTGAGTTTGCAAGGCTTTCGGGTGCGGGGCGGGTGTGTGCGAGAGATGGCACGAGCCCCGGGACCTGGGGGGCGATCCGGAGCTCGCACCGTATGGTTGGGAAGATGATTTTCGGCCCTTGCCAGAGCTAAGGAATCTGAGAGTGGGACAGGGGCCCCAACTATCCGGTTAAGCTGCCAGGGATCTGGGTTCTGGGGACGCTTCAAGAGGCAAGTTAAAAAAAAAAAGGGCCATGGTAGACAGCATATGGAGATCTATTCAAACACTAGATCTCCCATAGGAGCCAGCAATACTGCTTCCTGGCATCTACCTCCAACACACACACACACACACACACACACACACACACACACACACACATTAATCCCAAAGAATATATGCACACCTGTATTCGTCACAGCACGTTGTGCGTTAGCAAGATACGGAAACGACCCAAATGCCCAACTGTGGATAATTGGGCCAAGAAGTTGCAGTTTCTATACACAATGGAATACTTTACCACTCTAAGAAAGAACAGCATCTTGCAGTCTGCTGCAGCAGAGGGTATCTGCTGAGTGAAGTCGGTCAGAAGGAATGGATAGAGACAGGATGATGTCTCATATGTGGGACTTAGAGATACACAGGGTAGCAACATAATGGGAGCACAGGTCCATAAGGGCCACTCCCTTGCTCCTTCACGGGATGTGTGCTCACTCACCAGGTCTTTCTTCCTGTCCTAATTTCTTTCGTAATTTATTTGTTATGGTTTGGAAGATACAATAGTATTGAAGTTTATAGCATTGATCCACAAAATTTTACTACACCCCCCCCCCCCCGAAGTGCACACGACCCTCGCCTGCCGGCCAGACTAAATTTCTTCTAGTCTGGCCAAATTTCTTTTTTGTCAGGACACAGAAAGTGGATTAAAACCCACCTTCACTGCCTCTATTTAATTTGATCCTCTTTAAAGGCTCTTTTGCCAAGTTGCACTCAACATTCCCAGTTTAGGCACCGTAGTTGAATCTTAAGTGTATGAATCCCGTTAGCCTGTAGCAGGATCCATGAGTGATGCAGTGAAGCATGGTGGAAATAGTGATTCTTTGGTAGTTTCTTTAGTTTTCCTCTTTTGCACACTTCAAATATGCCAAACATACCAGTGTGTGCTTACGTCTACTAGCCGGTAGACTTGGTGCATAAAATGAACAAACAGAACACTGAAGCTGTGGCACTTACTGTGGTTAGTCTTGCTGTTTTCTTGCCATTTGCACTTTTATAAATGTGTCATAAAATGTAGGGCTCTAGGCAGGCTGAATGCACACATTTTGATGCAGTGTTATGACCTGAAGGCCTCAACATTTATCTGGATTGGAAATGATTCGAGATTTGTGTGACGGACAGCTGGAGGGGGCAGAAATCGGCTCAACGGAAATAACATTTACACCAGAGAAGATCAAAGGTGGAGTCCATACAGCAGATACCAAGACTGCAGGGTATGTATTACTTGTCTTACCAGTTAAGTATGGACTTTGGTGTTCAATCCAGGTATTGCCTTTATTAAACAAACTGCTTTGGTGTCTCTCTTTTTTTTTTTTTGCATTGTATTGATTTGTTTTATTTGGGGGCCACACCCAGTGCTGTTCAGGGCTTAGTCCTGGCTCTGCAGTCCGGAATCATTTCTAGCAGGGCTCTGGGGACTATATGGGGTGCTGGGGATTGAACCCAGGTCAGCTGCTTACAAGGCAAATGCCTTAGCCACTATCTCTTCGGAACTGGTTTTCAGCTTATTTGATGTATTTTAATTTTGCACTGTGCCGGTGTTTAAACCCAGGTCTTGTGCACATAAGACTCATGCTTTGCTACTGAGCCACATCCCCTGCCCTTAATTTCCTCATTTTAGAATTAGAGGAAATAACACTTCTTAGGGTTAGAAACTATCTAAAGTTTTGGATATCTAATTGCTGGGTCACACCTGGTAGTACTCAGGGCTTACTCCTGGCTCTGTGCTAAAGGAGCGCTCCTGGTGGTGTTTGGGGAACCATACTTGGTACCAAAGATCGAAGCAGGGTCAGCTACATTCAAGGCAAGCACCTTTAGTATTATCCTGTCTCTGTGCCCTCTGATTACTTATTGAAGCTATTAATAGCAATAATCCATTATTTGCTTATTTGTTGTGGGGTTTTCTTTGTTGTTTTGGGGTTTCATCCTGCCGTGCCCAGGAACTACTCCCAGTTCTGTGCTTGGGGGCCACTCCTGGTGCTCAGAGGTTGAATCCTCTTGCATGTAAATCATGCATTCAGTCCATTAAAGTATCTTTTCTTTAAAAAAAAAGTAATTGCAATTTCAGCTTTACTCAAAGGCTATACTTGCTTTCTCACTTGAGTATGCTTCAGCCTGTCTTTTTTTGTTGTTGTTGTTGTTGCTTTTGAGCCATACCTGGCAAGTGTGTGGCTCCAGGCTTAGTCAGGGCTCATTCTTGGCGAAGCTCAGGGGAACATATGTGGTGCTGGGGCTGAAACCTGGGTCTGCCACACGCAAGACAAGTGCCCTGCCCGCAGTACTTCTCTTCCTCAGGCCCCAACTTTGGCCAGTTTTGTGGTGATGATGCTTTCCCGAGACTTTGCGTGGAAACTTCAGCTGAGTGTCTTCTGCCTCTCCTTAGGAGTGTGTGCCTCTTGATGCAGGTGTCCATGCCCTGTGTGCTCTTCGCTGCCTCACCGTCCGAGCTTCGTTTGAAAGGTGGAACCAATGCAGAAATGGCACCGCAGATCGATCACATGACAATGGTAAAGACTTGGTTGGTGGTGGCAAGCTAAGACAATCTTCTAGGTTTTTTTTTTCTTTTTCTTTTTGGGTTACACTTGGTGATGCTCAGGAGCCTGTCCTGTCTCTGCACCCAGGAATCACTCCTGGTGGTGCTCAAGAGGACCATATGGGATGCTGAGATTTAAACCCGGGCTGGCCATGCGCAAGGCAAGCGCCCTACTTGCTGTAACATCGCTCCTGCCCTGTTATGTTACTTATTATTTAAGTGACTTATTTTATAAAATAGGAATTATGATTTGGGAAAATTCAAAATAAGAATGAAATACTACTTCTTGGGTTTTTTTTGTTTGTTTGTTTAGGTCATACCGGCTGTGCTTAGGGCTAACACCTGACTCTGTGCTCAGGAATAATTCCTGGCAGTACTCAGGGAACCATATAGTATCCTGTGGGTTGAACTCTGTAATGCAAGTGCCCTACCTGCTGTACTATTTCTCCAGACCCTTAAATACTTTGTTTTGGGAGGGGGGGGGGGGGCTACACCAGAAAATGCTTAGGGTCTAGACCTAACTCAGCGCTCAGGGATTAATCCAGGTGGTGTTTAGAGGACCATGCAGTGCTGGGAATTGAGCCCTGGGCACTGCAGGTCGAGCATGTACTTCAGGCTGTCAAGTTATCACTCTGCTCTTAGTACTGTGTGTGACAAGTATTAGTCACGATGTAGTGAAATTAAAAGCACTGTATTGGAGATGGAATATAAAACAGTATGACTTTTCCTCCAAAAATTAGAAACAGGGTTACTATATCATTCAGCAGTTCCTTCTCTGGGTGGGTGCTTTTCCCAGAGTTGACTTTTTTGCAACATTATTCATGATAGCTGATCTATAGTTGAATAAGCTCTCCAGCAGTGGTTTTCTGCTGCTGACCAACAGATCAGTGCTCATCTGCTTGCCCACCAGAACTTACTGGTATTTGGTTTTCAGCCACACAAAGCAGTGCTGGCATGTGAGAAAATGAAAGTCACTGCTCTAGAGATTTTGGGGGTTTTTATTTGGTTGGTTGATTTGGTTGGTTTCAGGGCCACATTGGGCAGTACTCGGTAGGGATTTCTGGCTCTGTGTTCAGGAATCACTCCTGGCAAGGCCAGATGACCATAAGGATGAAAACTGCGCTTGCAAGGCAAACACCCTACACGCTGCACTGTCGCTCCAGCCTTTTATTTTCTCTTTGGCTGGTGCTAATTATTGTATACAGGGCATCACATTAAGGCTATATCCCTGCTCTCAATAGAGTAAGAGTGTGAAAAGAGGGACTGGAGTATAACAGGTAGGGTATTTGCCTTGCACATGGCAACCCAGTTTGATCCCTGGCACTGTATATGATGCCCTGAGCCCCGCCTTGAGTGATTCCTAAGCGCAGATCCAGGAGTAAGCCCTGAGCACCACTCAGTGTGGCCTCAAACCAAAACAATTAAAAAAAAAAGTGGAAAAAAATGTAAAAAAAAAAAAAGTAAGAAAAATGTGAAAAAAAAAAAACCCAACCCACTAATGTTCTAGGCCTATCAATCAGTGGTAGAACACATGCCTTGGAGGCCTGCATTCAGTCTCCAACACCAAACACACATGGTTGTAATATTTTGACTATACATTTTTGAAATTCTAAACTCAATATTGGCAGTTCATACACCTAATGGGAGAGAAAAATGAAATCATCCTTTTAAAAAAAAATTGGGGGGCCACACCTGGCAGTGCTCTGGACTTACTCCTGGCTCTGTGCTCAGGGGTCACTCCTGTCAGGGCTTGGGAGATGTATGTGGTGTCAAGGATCAAACCAAGTCCAAACGTGTGTAAGGCACACGCCCTGCATCACTGTATAATTGCTCTAGCCCTGGAATCATCTTATTTTCCTCCAGATTTATTTAGGAGTAGTTATTTATAGTAAAATTTATCCTTCTTAAGGTAAGTTCTGGGATTTTTAACTTTTTGATGTGAATTTGGGGGCTTTGCTTTGGGCCATACCTGGTGATGTTTGGGACTTACTCCTGGCTCTGTGCTCAGGAATCACTCCTGGCAGGGCTCAGGGGGCAGTGAGGTGCTGAGGGTTGAAGCTAGACGGACAGCATACAAGGCAGATGCCTTGTTTGCTGTACTCTCTCTCTGGCTGGTGGTGTGGACTTTTGGCCCCTACCTGGCAGAGCCCAGTGGTCATTCCTCAGGGCACCATCTGTAGGTCTGATGTTGGAACCAGGAGGGCCATGGCCGCCGCAGCCACATTGAAGTCAGGATCTCGGAGAGGTCTTAGAATTTTTTTTTTTTTTTGCTTTTTGGGTCATACCCAGCAATGCACAGGGGTTACTCCTGGCTCATGCACTCAGGTATTACTCCTGGCGGTGCTCAGGGTACCATCTAGGATGCTGAGGATTGAATTCAGGCCAGCTATGTGCAGAGCAAACACCCAACCTGCTGTATTATTGCTCCTGCCCCTAATCTTGAAATTTCAATATATTATGTATTTAGTTGTTAGAAGTTTATTTTCTTCACCTAGTAATTCTGCTTCAAGGAAATGTCTCTAATTAAATAATACAAAATGCATTGAAAGAGAAATATCAAAGGTATTTGAACAGAGCATTAGGTCATAGTTACCACTTTTATATCATACACATGTCATTATGTAAAACTGAAAATTTGGAGAATGATTAGGGAAATAATTCTAGAATTCCATGCAGTCATGGATGTTTAGGATGAATTTTATGATACCAGGAAAGTATTTCTGTTTAAGGATAAAATATGTATATATTATGAGATTTCTACTACTTAAAATTGAGAACACAGGATGGAATGCTGTTTACCAGCCATTCTGCCTCTCTGCCTTCCATCTTTCCTTCCTTCCTTTTTTTTTTGTTATTTAATAAATGTTTTTTCCTTCCTTCCATAGAAGGTCTCTTTTTCAACTTTTTGTTTTGAGGCCATGCTTAGAAGTGCCCAGGGGTTACCCTGGTGGTGCTCAGGGTGGTCTGGGGATCGAATTCAGGTTGAATGTGCACAAAAGGAAGCTCTTTTTGGTGTCAGAGAAGTAGATAATAGGGATGATTGCCTTGCAAGACCCAGGTTCAATCCCCAGCACCCCATATGGTTCGCTGAGAACCGTAGGGAGTGATCTCTGAGCACTGAGCCAGGAGTAATCCCTGAGCACCGCCAGGTAGGGTCCAAAAACAAAACAAATCAAAGACAAGAAAAGCAAAGCATGCACCTTTTTTTCTGATCCACTCTTCTGTGTCTCTGGTCCTTCATTTTATTAGTACCGAGACAATGTGGTTTACAATGGTGGTAATGTTTATGCCTAAAGCATACAGTATTAACTCCACCACACCCACCACCAGACTACTAGTATCCCTTCACATCGCTCTCAAGTTCCTTCTTATCTGCCCCTCCCTTTCCAGTTGTGGGTGGTGGGGTGGGGGTCACATCCGGCAGTGTTCTAGCACCAACTCCAAGTTCTGCATTCAGGGATCATTCTGGGTGGGGCTCTGGGAACCATATGTGGTGCTGGGAATTGAACCTGGGTTTCCTGCAGGCAAGGTAAGAGCTTTGCTATCTCTCTGTCCTCATTTAATTTCTTATACTATTTTATATTGACTTTATTCCCCCCTTCTTGCCAGAAATCCAACCCAGAGCCTTACACTGAGCTGTATCTGCATCTCATATATAACTCTTTATGGGGAAGATTAAAATGACCACTGACTAAAATATCCAGTTTCAATTTTTTTCATTGACTTGACTTGTACAGCTCTAATTAATTAAATATTAAACTCACAACTTGAGTGCATATTTTATTTGAAAGATAGAAATAGTCCAAACTTTTGTTCACTTTTTATTTGACCTATTACTAATTCAATGCATACCACTTGTTTAACATATGTATCGTATCAATGAAGAGTGGGGATTAAAGTAACAATGAACGTATTTTTCAGGTTTTCAAGCCAATTGTAGAAAAATTTGGTTTCACATTTAACTGTGACATTAAAATGAGGTAAGTTACTTATTTCTTAATCTTTAGACTTGTGATAACTACAGTTAAAGATTGTGGAAAATGTAGATCCTTCACACCACAAAGACTGGCCCACATCCAAAAGAGCAAAAGCAACCGGTGCTCGCTTGAATGTGGCAAGAAAGGGACGCTCGTTCACTGCTGGTGGGAATGCCGACTGGTTCAGCCCTTTTGGAGAACAGTATGGACGATTTCAGAAAATTAGAAATTGAGCTCCCATTTGACCCAGCAATAGCACTCTTGGGAATATATCCCAGAGAGGCAAAAATGTATAGTCGAAGTGACATCTGCACTTGTTTGTTCATTGTAGCACTGTTTACAATAGCCAGAATCTAGAAAAAACCTGAGTGCCCAGGAACAGATGACTAGTTAAAGAAACTTTGGTACATCTACACAATGGAGCACTATGTAGCTGTTAGAAAAGATGAAATCATGAAATTTACATACAAGTGGTACTACATGGAAAGTATCATGCTAAGTAAAATGAATCAGAAAGAGAGGGACAGACATAGAAAGATTGCATTCATCTGGGGAGCATAAAGTAACAAAATGGGAGACTAACACCCAAGGATAGCCGAGATTAGTACCAGGAGGTTTACTCCATGGCTTGGAGGCCAGCCACACATGCTAGGGGAAAGGGCAGCTCAGATAGAGAAGGGAGCACCAAATAAAGGGTGTTCGGAGGATCCTCCCAGGATGGGAGAAGCATGCTGAAAGTAGACTATAGATAGACCAAACATGATTGCCCCTCAGTGCCTCTTTTGCAGACCACAACACCCAAAAGGAGAGAGAGAACAAAAGGGAGTGCTCTGCCACAGAGGCAGGGTGGGATGGGGGTGTGGGGGATGGGAGGGATACTGGGACCCATGGTGATGGAGGATGGGCACTGGTGGAGGGATGAGTACTTGATCATTGTATAATTGAAAACCAAGCACAAAAATTCTAAAAAAGTTTACAACTGTACCTCATGGTGTTTCACTAATAAAAATTTTTTTTTAAAAAAGAAAAGAATATGTAGATCCTAGAGAACTGCCATTTTGGATCCCAGTTACCACATCATGCTTGTAGGAAACAGATGTGCTTTGAAGCACAGGAATGATAACCAGCAGGGGTATGGGGAATTGAACACAGCTACGCGTGATACTCACCTGTTTCATGTGTGGCGTTCTCCATGCTCAGCATAGACTGAAGCTCTGTAGATAGTGTGCAGGGCACACCAGGTTGAGGAGAAGAGATTTCCGGACCAGATACCCGCAGTAATTTTCTAGAGAAGCATATCAGCATTCAGGTTCTTTCTCCTTGAGACATCCCTTTTGCCACAGAATAACAAGGCCAGATATCTTGGTGTGACGTTCCAGCACTTGACTTTTTTTTTTTTTTTAAACATTTTGTGTCACACACACCCAGCGATACACAGGGATTCAGGGATTACCCTGGGCTTTGCACTCCGTAATTACTCTGGTGGTGTTCGGGGAATCGTGGGATGCTGGGAATCGAACCCGGGTCAACCGCGTGCAAGGCAAATGCCCGCCCCGCTGTACAATCGCTTCAGCCCCGATGCTTGGCATTTTCATACCAACTTTATCTTTTTCGTTCTCCTTCCCATCCTTCTCACATGCCATGTATTCTGACTGTGTAATTTCTGTTCCTTAATCATGCTTTGTGCCTTCAGATGTTTTTTGTCTTTGTGTTTTTCCTCCTCCACTTTCCTAAAATTGGGAATCCCATACATTCTCAAAATGAAGCCTGCCGTTTCCGTGTTGTTTTGTGGTGCTGGGGTTGAGCCCAAAATCTCACGTGTGCCAGGCAAGTGCTGTACCCCTGAGCTCTGGCACTTACAGAAGTGTTCCCTTTAGCCAGCAGCTGGCTAGCAGCCCAGCCACAGATGCCTGTTTCTGAGCATTTGAAGTGGCAGTGGTCCAATGGCGAGCTGAGTTTGACATTTTGTTTAGTTCAGGGATTCCAAATTGATCAGCCTAGATCTAGAATAGATCTTTTATGTAAATTAGATGTCTAGGTATCAACTATATTATAATATCATAAAAATTCAGCCTTATACATGTCATACCGTCAGCTTATATGTTTCTCATCCTTTTCGTAGGGGCTACTACCCAAAGGGGGGTGGGGAAGTGATTATCCGGACATCGCCAGTTAAGCAGTTGAACCCAATAGATTTAACTGACCGTGGCACCGTGACTAAGATACATGGAAGAGCTTTTGTTGCTGGTGTTCTACCACTTAAAGTAAGTTCTCTAGGTATTCTTTTTCTTTCTTTCTTTCTTTCTTTCTTTCTTTCTTTCTTTCTTTCTTTCCTTCTTCTTTCCTTTCTTTCTTGGGCTTTTTGGGGCACACCCAGTGATGCTCAGGGGTCCTCCTAGCTCTGCACACAGGAATTACTCCTGCAGTACTCGGGGACTGTATGGGATGCCAGGGATCAAACCTGGGCTGGTCAAGTACAGGGCAAATGCCCTACCCACGGTACTATCGCTCTGGCCCCTGTCTAGTTATTCTTAGAAATGTATATATTTCTTGGGACTGGAGCGATAGAACACCAGATACGGCATTTGTCTTGCACGTGGCCTACCCAGGTTCGATCCCTGACATACAATACAGTCCCCTGAGCACTTCCAGGAGTGATTCCTAAGTGCAAAGCCAGGAATAAGCCCTGAATATCTCTGGGTGAGACAGAAACACCAGAATTTGGTATTGCTTGGGACTGGGACCAGTGGCACTCAGGGTCTGGTCCTGGCTTTATGCTCAGGATGGGCCCAGGCAGTGCTTGGAGGGGTATATGTGGTGCCAGCAGGGATTGAACCACGGCTGGGCCACAGGCCAAGAGAGTGCCTTTACCTACTGGGCTATTTCTTTATTCCCACATATCTTTTGATAGATGATTATGTCATGTAAATTTTGAAATTATTGAAAAAAAAAGTTGATTTTTCAATGAATCTTTTATTTTTTTTATCTATTCTCTTCTGTTGAAAATTAAGTTTTAAGAATAATTTATTATTTTGTATGTCTTTGGAAACTTAAAAACAATTATCAACATAATCATTAATTTTATCTTGTTTTTCTGTTTTACCAAAACAGTTGGCAAAAGATATGGCTGCAGCAGCTGTGCGGTGCATCAGAAAAGAGATTAGGGATCTGTACGTTAACATTCAGTCTGTCCAGGAGCCGAAGGACCAAGCTTTCGGCAATGGAAGTGGAATAATGTAAGATAAAATGCTTGTTCCTAGATATTGGTATATGGTATGGAATAGCAATACCCTATACCAATAGATATTGGTAATATAATATCTATTGGTATAGGGTATGGAATAGCAATCCTGTCTAAGTTAAACATTTGTAGTCTTTAGGAACCAGAGAGAAAGTACAGCAGTTAAGGTGCTTGCTCTGTACATAGCCAACCTGGGTTCAATTCCCAGAGTCCCATATGGTCATAATCCTTTGCTGAGATAATTGGTTTTAGTGTCAGAAATACCTTCTGAAATGTAAAAGTAGTATTTGTAGGAATTTAAATTTTAAAATCTCAAGAGTTTCTTTTAATGGGTTTGAGGTAAATGCCTGTTCTCCATCTGGACCATAATATCAAAAACTAAACAGTGCCAGGTTTCTTTGTACCCCCATATATGCAATAGAGAGGTAATAGAGGGTAAGGTGCTGGCCTTTCCTGTGTCCAGCTGCAGTTCCATCCCCAGTATTGCCTGAGACCTTTCCAAGTTAGTATTTCAGTGGTGGATGACAGATGGCTCTGCTCGGGGCTTCTTCCTGGGTAGTAAGGCATAGAGTGGAGGGATCTCTAAGGGTTATTCCTGCCAGTATGTGGGATACCGAGGTGCAGTGCTGGGGATTGAACCTGGGTTGGCCACACACAAGGCAAGTGCCTTCCCCACTGTACTATCTCTCTGCCCTGTTTCAGTTCATCTTAAGGTATTATGATACTTTATGGCATAGTATCATAGTGCAGTAATACCACAGTGTACAGACCTGGTGACTTCAGGGAGGGCCATTCTTCACTTGTGAGTAGTTTTGACTCAGATGATTTTTGTGGAGCAAAGGGATTCACACTAGCATTGCTCAGTGGCTGCTCCTAGCAAGGTGCTCAAAGGATCATGCAATATTGGGGATGAAATTAAATTTGCACTTGTTGCATGCAAAACTTGTACTCCAGCCCTTTGTACCACCTCCCTGGCCTGAGTCTAATGTAATTGTCATAAATGCTAAAGAATTCTAATGTTTTGAAAAAGATAATGTTAATCATGCTGTTCTCTCCAATAATTTCTCTGTGTGTGAGAGGGAGGGGTGCAGTGATGTGGGGAGGGGTGGACCAGGGACCGAACCCAGGATCTCACGCTTGAGAGGCATGTGTTCTACAGAAGAATTCCATTTCTGCAGTGTACTGGTTAGATTTTATTCTGTGTATCTAACAGTCACTGTTCTTTTTTATGTGCATAATTTTATAGAGTATAAAGAGTAACACTTTTTTTTCTATACAGCATTGTTGCCGAGACATCCACCGGCTGTTTGATTTCTGGGTCGGCACTTGGTAAACGAGGTAAATGAGGGAGGTCTATAATTCCCATCACTAGCGGAGGACTTTGAAGTTATCTTTCTGGATTAGAATGTTACAGAATAATGTGTAGATAGCACTGTAGCACCGTCCTCCTGTTGTTCATCGTTTTGCTCGGGCAGGCACCAGTAACGTCTCCATTGTGAGATTTGTTGTACTGTTTTTGACACATCGAATACGCCACAGGGAGCCAGGCTCTGCCATGTGGGCGGGATACTCTCGGTAGCTTGCTGGGCCCTCCGAGAGGGACAGAGGAATCTCACCCGGGTCAGCTGCGTGCAAGGCAAATACCCTAATCCACTGTGCTGTCGCTCCAGCTCATCATGTAGAAAGCGAGTTCAGAAGGAAAGGGGTGACTGGTTGTGTTTAGAGTCAGGTAGAATTTTGATGTGTCCCCCACTCTAGGCCTTGAAGGGTTCCAAGCCCGTGGAAGAGATGAATGACAGCACACACCCATCGCTGTTCTGTTGTATTTCCCAGTGTGCTTGGGGGTGCTGGGGATTGAACCTGGGGTTCCTACATGTGAGGCATGTGCTCCACCTGTGGAACTGTTTAAACACAGTTTGATTTTGTTTTGTTTTATTGTTGATACCCTTCCCCACCCCCTCCCTGCAGTGCTCAGGGGCTCCTTCCTGGGTCAGGAGTCACTAGCAGTGATGCTTGTCTTTAGAAATCGCAGGCTTTGGTGCCAGAGAGAGCGCAGTGGGCTGAGTGCATGTTTGCATTAGGGGGTCCTAGTTCAGTGCCTGGTGTGTGTCTGGTCTGCTGAGCTCTGCAGGAAGCAGTCTAGCGTGTAGAGCCAAGAGTAGCCCCCAAGCACCCTAGAGTGTGGCCCATAAACCAAGAGCAGTAATGATCAATATAATGTCAGTTTTTCTTTTTTTCTTTTTCCCCCTCTGGGTTTTGGGCCACACCTAACTGTGCTCAGGGCTTACTCCTGGCTCTGTGCTCAGGGGGTCACTCCTGGCAGTACTCAGGGGTCCATATGTTGTGTCAGGGATCGAACCCAGAATTTGTACTTGCAAAGCATGCACTTGAGCCTTCTGAGCCATCTCCCTTGTGCTGTAATCTTTTCTTGGGGGAGCGGGGAGTGTTGGGTTTGGGGGGCTCACGGCTCATTCGTGGCTTTATGTTCTGGGATCATTCCTGGTGATGCTCAGAGGACCATAGACAGTGCTGGGGATCAGACCAGGGTTGGGTGTATGCAGGGCAAGCACTTTAACCCCTGTGCTATCTCTCTAGCCCAGGACTTTTATTTTGAGTCATACCCAGCAGTGCTGAGGACTTACTCCTGGCTCTGCGATCAAGGATCACTCTTGGTAGTGTTTGGGGTGCCAGCGATTAAACCCAAACAGCTGCGTGCAAAGCAAATGCCTTATCTGCTAGACTATTTAGTTACCTCTAGTCTAGGACTTTTAATAGGCTAAAACTTCCTGTTTTTTTTTTTCTTTCTTTTTGGGTCATAACCTGGTGATGCACAGGGGTTACTCCTGGCTCTGCACTCAGGAATTGCACTCCAGCCCCAGTTTTTTTCCTTTACCTTTGTGCATTTAAAGATAGAAAAAGTTTTTGAACTGACTTGATCTCCGTTTATTTCTCCTTCAGTCTGTAAGGACATTTTTGTTCAGGAGAGTTACTACCATGGTATTTTCAGTTTTTTTCTAGCTGGAACAAGGAAGAATGCAAATGCAGATTTCTAAAGAAATTATGGTTTCATGAAAGACTTTTTTTGGTAGGGTGTCCCGCACCTAGCAAGGCTCAGGGCTTACGTTTAGCTTTGCACTCAAGATCACTACTAGTGGTCTCCGGAGAGCATATAGGGTGGCAGGGATCAAACCCAGGTCAGCCACATGCCAGGCTGTACTATCCACTGTATGCCATGCCCTATCCACTGTACTATCACTCCAGACTTTTAAGGACATAAGGAGGCTTATGCCATTCAGAGCACAAACTAATTTTGGAACATGAAGAATTTTCTTGGGGAGCCAGGCAAATGGCTAGAGGGCTATCATAGCATCTTTGTATGTGGGAATGTGGGAATCCTGGGTTTGAGAGAGAGAGAGAGAGAGAGAGAGAGAGAGAGAGAGAGAGAAAGAGAGAGAGAGAGAGATACTACTTTCTGTTGATTTCAATGGAAATGTGTTGCCAACCTCTGTTCCTGAATCATACAACAAATATTTATACTATATAAACTATACTTTGAAAAACATAAAAGCATTTGCATATACTGATATCTCCAAAGATTAAACATACATAAAGGTGATTTATTAAAAAAATTGAGTGAGCAATAAAAATGGTAAAAGAAAAATAAGTTGAGTGAGTGGCTGGAGAGATCATACAATAGATAGGACTCTTGACTTGCCTGACCTTTGTTCTAAGCACTACCAGAAGTAACTCCCTGAGCATGGAGCCAGGAATAAGATCTGAGCAAAGCTGAAGTGGCACCCCTGCCAAAAATCAGTCAGTGAGATTAGGATCTTAAAAATGTTATATAAATGCTAACTAGGCTGTATTGATCATTTGCTTCTTAGTAACTTAGGTCTTTGTTAATTTAACGCTATGCTATCATAGGTGTCAATGCAGACAAGGTTGGAATTGATGCCGCTGAAATGCTACTTTCAAATCTTAGACATGGTGGTGCTGTGGATGAGTATCTCCAAGACCAGGTAAATCACACTTTCAAGATTATAAGGACCCTTTGCGGGGGCCTAGGAGATGGCTTAACTGATTGGGTGCATTCTTTCCATGCAGGAATCTGGGGATCAGTCCCCACTACCTCATGGTGCCCTGAGCACCCTCCCTCCCCCCAAAAAAAAGGACTGGAGGATGTGGAGGATAGGATAGCGGGTGGGGCACTTGCCTTGCACACAGACTACCTGGGTTCTATCCCCAGCATCTTATATGGCCCTCTGAGCATCACCAGGTGGATGACCCAAAAATAATTATTTTTTTGTTAGGTATTTTGATTTCTAGCTTTTTTGTTTCATTTTGGGACCACACCCAGTGGTGCTCAGGACTTACTCCCAACTCTAAGCTCAGGGATCACTACTGGCCATGCTCAGGGGACCATATTGGGTGCTACCAATGATCTGGGTGAGCTGTATGCAAGGCAAGCACCCTACCTGCTGTACTAGAGCTTTAGCCCCTTGGTTTCTAGTAGAATTGGAAACACCAAAGTACTTACTGTAAATATCTATAAATGTGTGGCATTTTCCTTCTTTGTTCTTTTTTTTTTTAATAGCTCATCATTTTTATGGCGCTGGCCAATGGCGTTTCTAGAATTAAGACAGGACCAGTTACACTCCATACACAAACAGTTATTCATTTTGCTGAACAACTGACAAAGGTGAGTATTCCATCAGAAAGAGTCGTCATTTTAACATCTTATTTTTGTGTGTGGTACCAGGGCCTCCTCACACACGAGGAAAAGAGTAGCTGATTTTTGTTGTTGCTACTGTTGTTTTTGTTGTTGTTTTGTTTCGTTTGGGGGGGCCATACCTGACAGTGCTCAGGGCTTAGTTTAGGCTCTGCACTCAGGGACCACTCGTGGTAGGACACATATGGGATGCCCAGGATTCAATCTGGGTCCTGCTCACATGCAAGGCAGACACCCTGGGTGGTGTATGATATCTGGCCCCCAAGAGAAGTTGGTTGAGACCAAATTTTAATCAGTAGAAAGTTTAATAGTCACCATCATTGCTGTCACTCACTAAGTTCTCCTTCCATGGCCGGCACTGAGCTAACTCAGCAATTTACCCGAATCATCTTAGGGGAGTAGTTAGCATTTCTGTTGTATAGATGAGTAAAGTAAAGGAGAAGGACTAAGCTACTTGCCCAGGCTGCTTAGTTGTTTTGGTTTTGCTTTGGCTTTTCTGGGTTTTGGAGCCGTTCCTGGTGGTGTCTGGGGGGATCTTCTGTGGTTCTGTGGATTGAACCAACATCAACATCAGGCTTAACCCTTATACTTTCTGCCACATCCATATTTTACGGGAGAGGGTTTGGGGCTACACCCAGTAGTGCTTGGTCACTACTCCTGGCTCTGTGCTTTGAGGACTATGTGGTTCCTGGATTGAGCCAGAATCAGTCTCATGCAAAGCAAATGTCTTTTTTTTTGGGGGGGGGGGATGGGGGGCAGAGTGGGGAGGGGAAATTTGTCTTTCTGTGGGGTTCATAATTTTTTTAAAATGGTCGTCACATATATTGCATTAAAAGCCAATCTGATTTCCTTATAGAAAATTGGGGGAAATAAATGAAGAAACCTGCCTATGCAACTTTCCTGCCACTGAAACCACTGTTGATATCTAGGTGTTTCTTTTCCACACACTCCCATAGCTTTGCTAGCAATCAAAACCCAGGTTCCTGCGTGTGTGTAAAATGTGTATTCTGGCCCTGTGAAATACTTCCCTGGCTCAGATATTTAGGTATTTTCTTTGTCCCTTAAAAACCTTTTTTTTTTCCCGGAGACCGAAGAGATGGTACAGTGCATTGGGCACTTGCCTTGCATGCAGCCAACCCAAGTTTGATCCCCAGTATCCCCTGAACAGCACCAGGAGTGATTCCTGAGTGTAGAGCCAGAATTGTCCCTGAGCACCACCAAATATGGCCCCAAAACAAACAAATGAAAAAACCCTTTTTCTCTTTAGGTTTGCGCCCCCTATTCCCACCACTCAGAAGGGAGGGAAGGAGTGTGTACACTGACTCTGCCCTAAGTGGAACTCCTACCAAATTATTTTTATGGAAATATTTTAATATTCATTTTATTTATTTTCTTAGTGGTTTTTCTTTTTTTAAAAAAAATTTTTATTAGTGAAACACAACGAGGTACAATTGTAGACTTACAAATTTTCCTACCAAATTTTTAAAAAATAATTTGGTTTGTTTTCGGCCCACATCCAGCCCACACTCTCTGTCATTGCCCAGCACAATTTTTAAAAGAGCTTCATGTCACGGTCACGTTGTCTGTGGAATTTGAACTCTGATGTCTTTTTGAGGTTTGAGGCTGTTCATATTCCTAGAACGAGCAGATGCCATTGGGCTACACTAGCAAGCGACAGGGACAAATGGAGATGTTACTGGCGCCCACTCGAGCAAATCGATGAGTAACAGGATGTCAAGTGTTCAAGTGATGTCTTTTTCTACTCTGTTAAGTTTTCATAGCATTTCTTAGGGTGAATTGTTTACTCTTTCTGTGCCTCAGCTTAACTAGTTTATAGAGTCAGATGTAATACCACAGGTCCTCAAGGCTCATTTCCAACAAGTTTTGTAGTTTTCATAAGGTTTTTATGTAGGCTAAAGATTTCCATGCCTGCTGCTTGTTTTGTATGTATTAAATGTTTATAATATGAAGAATGTTGGGGGGGTTTGCTTTTTTGTTTGGGGGCCACAACTGGCAGTGCTTAGGGCTTACTCATGCCTCTGTGCTCAGAGATCACTCGTGGCACGCTATGCATTCATGTGAGGCAAGCTCTTTATTTATTTACTTATTTATTTTTATGTAGGAGTACTGCTATTTATTCAGCCACTGATTAGCTGATTGAATTGTGCATGAACTCTACCTTACTTTTTTTTTCATTTTTTATAATTTTATTTATTGAAGCACTGTGAGAGCAGTTACAAAGCTTTCAGGTCTAAGTCTCGGTCATACATTGAAACACCCGTACCTTCACGAGTGCCCATTCTCCACCACCAAAAACTCCAGAGTACCCCCATCCCACACCCTCCCCCTACCTGTGGGGCAGATGATTTCCACATTACTCTCTCTACTTTGATCACATTCAATATTTTGACACCAGACCCACCATTATTAGTTGGGATTTTACCTCAGCACTCACACCTGCTGAAAAGGCAACAGTAGACAACTTGTGTTCTATTGCTGGTTATGAATAACATATGATGTCACGTGGCTGCAGTAGGGCCATGTGATTTTGAAATTCCGAAATTTTAACACTTAAATCTGGAGGGATTTCTGCCAAAAGCCACTGGGTTTCGAGATTAGCTCCTGAGTCTCTGGGATCATGGCCGTTGAGCAGCTTGATCAGGAGCCAGAGAGGCCGTTTGTGGGCGATGACTTGGGGTTTCATTGGGACGGGGAGACCAGGACCAGCTCCACCCCCATCCTTTGAGGCCCAAAATGTCTCGTCACTGCCGGCCCAGACCTGACTGTCCAATCGCCTCTGGAGGATGGTGGCCACTGAGCCGCCAAGGGGGAGCAGGAGGAGGGACAACACCCTTTCCCCCCTGGAGTGGCCCAGCGACAGTAAGCTACTGCAGGGTCCAGACGCATTTCTGCCAAAAGCTGCTGGGTTTTAAGATTTGTTTCTGAGTCTCTGGGATCATGGCCATTAAGCAGCTTGATCAGGAGCCAGAGAGGCTGTTCGTGGGCGATGACTTGGAGTCTCGTTGGGACGGGGAGGACAAGCCCAGCTCCCCCCATCCCATGAGGCCCAACAAGTTTTGTCACTGTGGGCCCAAGCCTGACTGTCCAATGGCCTCTGGAGGATGATGGCCACCGAGCCGCCAAGGGGGGAGCAGGCGGAATGACAACACCCTTTCACCCCTGGGGGGCCCAGCGACAGTAACCTACTGTGGAGTCTGGACACATTTCTGCCAAAGCCACTGGGTTTCGAGATCATGGCCGTTAAGCAGCTTGATCAGGAGCTAGAGAAGCCGTTCGTGGGCAGTGACTTGGGGTTTCGTTGGGGTGGGGAGGACAGGACTGGCTTCACCCCCATCCCACAAGGCCCTGCATGTCTCGTCACTGGGGGCACAAACCTGACTGTCCAGTGGCCTCTGAAGGATGGCTGCCACCAGGCCGCCAAGGGGAACAGGCCAAGGCACGAAACCTATTCCCACCTGGGTTGGCCCAGCACCAGTAACCTACTGCAGGGACCGGACGCATTTCTGCCAAGAGCTGCTGGGTTTCCAGATTTGTTTCTGAGTCTCTGGGATCAAGGCTATTAAGCAGTTCGATCAGGAACCAGAGAGGCCATACCTCCAATTATATAGCTGAGCCGGAGGTGGTTTGTGGGTGTGTTTCCCACATACCTAACTTTTGGCCGTTTACTTTCTTGGTAAACTTTGCCCAAGTTTTTGGGGTCTGGCCAAAGGCACAGCAGCAATTTTGGGGTATCTGGAAGTCTGAAGGCGCCATCAGGCTGCTGATACACTTGCCTCACAGGTACAGATTGACCTGCTGGCAGCACCATACCCCCGAGGCAAGCCCTTTAACCCTTGTGCTGTGTCTCTGGTCCTTCAGGAATGTTTGTTTTATATGAGTGCTACAAGAATAATTTGGCTACTAAGCTTAGAATTCAGTGCTTATTTAACAGTGTCCACTGTGTGTCAGTAAAGAACCATGTAAGTACTGAGCTTGGAGAGATTTTTTAAACATTACTGTTTAAAAAGACCATAGAGTGATGGGTTTTGAATTTTATTTTAAGGAATTATAATTCTAGGCATACTTGAAATTTCTTTGCCACAAATGCAGTCAGCTTACTTAATTGCTTCGATTTGAAGTTAGTTCTGTTTGAACAGTTGTACTTTATAAAAGTAATCGCATTTCCAGCATATTGTGATGAGCACAAATATCTCAATGCCAAAAGTAAATTAGTAATTTGTTCACAGTAGAACACAATGTTGAGGGGCTGGAGAGATAGTAAAGTGGATGAGGCACTTGACTTACTTATGACTGATCCAGGTTTGATCTCTGGCATCCCACATGGTCCCCCAAGGAGTAATCCCTAAGTGTAGGGCTAGGAGTAACCCCTGAACATCACTGGTTGTGGTCCCCAACTGGAAAACAAAAACAAAAACAATGCAATGTTGAGCACAATGGTTAACAGGTGTTAATTATTACCTTCCCCCTTTTTTCCTCTAAATTTGTTTTTTTCTAATTGTATATTTGGGAAATTAAATTGACAATAAAATTTTGAGAGAAATGAAAGACTCATTTTAAAAGATAAAAGAAGTGTAAGTGCTTTAATGCTGTTTTAGAAATATTAGTAACAGTTGAGACTTAAATTTTGTTTTGTTTTGTTTTGAGGTCACACCCAGTGGTATTCATGGCTCACTTCTGGCTCTGTTCTCAGAAACTATTCCTGGAGGTGCTGAGGGACCATATGGGATGCTGGGAATCAAACCCGGGTTGGTTGCATGCAAAGCAAGCACCCTACCACTGTGCTATTTCTCCAACCTCTAGATTTGAGATTTTAGACATTGATAGTTGTCTAGGCTGATTTCCCAGGGATTCTAATTCTGGACCTCAGTCACAGAACTCCACAGATTGGACAAGAAAGATGTATAACAGACAGGGCACTTGCCTTGCATGCAGCTCACCCAGGTTCAGTCTTCAGCGCTACATATGATCCCCAAGCACTACCAGGAGTGACTCGAGCGCAGAGCCAGAATAAGCCTTGAACACAGCTGGGTGTGGATAAAACAAAACAAAACAACAACCAAAGAACTCCAGTTTTTTACTATGTGTTTTTTTCTTTGAACAGGAATTATGCTTCTGAAACAGAACAGTTTGTATATCTAGCCTGTTGAACCTCTCAAGAGCCATTTGATCTTTGTATATCTCTAGTTTCTTCAGTAAAATGATTTTGATTTTAGATCCTGCATATTTAACAAAGAGTGTGGGCTCATTATTTACCTGTCTATGTTACTTACATACTGAATGTTCTGGTTTCAGGCTAAATTTACTGTGACGAAATCAGAAGATGAAGAAGATGCTTCTAAAGACTCTTATATTATTGAATGCCAAGGAATTGGGATGACAAATCCACATCTCTAGATTGCCTTTTGAATGACACTTCAGTGGTATATTGCACTAATTCATTACATAATTTTTTTCAGAACAGTAACTTCTAAGAAATTATTTTAAGGACCTGTCTCAAATTTGGAGATGAAATATTTAGAGTGTCACGAATTTGTTGAAAGTTTTTCATTGAATCCCATTTTGAATATCTCTTGAGATATGACCATGTAATATGAATTGTTAAATACGTATGTGCTAGTTGATTTCACTATTCAAGTGAAATAAAATCTTTTTTGTTTCAAGTATGATTTTCCCTTCCCTTATCTGCCCTGCCCCGCCATTGTATCAAGCATACAGAATAATTACAGATTTTCAGTCCTTACAGGTTTATTGAAATTGAGCCCTAAATAAGCTTTTGTTTGGCTTAAGGTATTAAAAACACAACTCAACCACATTTTGCACGCTTGCAGGAACCTGGGGTTTGATTTCCGGCATAAGCTATAGGAGTGTGTGTGTGGAAAAGAAGATAACCTAGAGGGGGCCAGTGTTTTAGTAAAGCAGGTAGGGCATTTGCCTTGCATGCTGCCAACCCAGGTTTGATCCCCAGCATCCCATATGGTCCTCTGAACACCAGAAGTAATTTCTGAGTGCAGAGCCAGGAGTTAGCCCTGAGCATGGCTAGGTATGGCTCAAAAACCAAAAAACTAAAAACATAACTGAGTGACTTTAGAACAGAATGTACTCTTCATGATTCTCTATTTGACATCTAGCCTACTTCCACATTTAGATTACTTCCCGATCTCTGTAGGCTGTAGGCGGTTATGAGTCAAATGAAACTGGTTTGATGCATCCTCTAAGTAAGCTACACTATAACAGAGTGAGGAATTGACTCAAATTTGGTTTTATTTGGACATTATCTGGTAATTAAAGCAGCCCTAGAGAATGATATAAATTCCGAGGATGGTATTCATAATATGTATTCATAAAATGCTAAATTTTAGTAAACTTAAGATTTACTATAGAACTGTATGAAAAATAATACTTTGTATGTGATCATAATTCTTATATCTGTTGTCTCAGTTGAGTTTAGTCAACTTTAAAGATGGTGGTGGGTTGCTTATATTGTCATAAATTTTATTAGTTTAATAACAATTACATTAAGAAAATATTTTTTGTAATAAAATTATCCCTTTTTTGTTACTATTTTTTTGTTTGTTTGTTTTGGGGGCCATCCCAGGTGGTGCACAGGTTCTGGCTCAGCACTCAGAGCCTCTTTTTTTTTTTTTTTTGCTTTTTGGGTCACACCCAGTGATGCACAGGAGTTACTCCTGGCTTTGCATTCAGGACTTACTCCTGGCGCTGCTCAGGGGACCATATGGGACGCTGGGAATCGAACCCAGGTCGGCCGTGTGCAAGCAAATGCCCTACCTGCTGTACTATCTCTCCAGCCCTCACTCAGAGCCTCTTGATGGGGCTGGAGGGAACACATGTGGTGTGGAGGATCAAACCGTGGCCAGCTATATGCAAGGCAAGTACCCCACCCAATGTGCTGTCTCTCCAGCCCCAAACTTTTCTTTTAGTACTGCCATTGTCTTAAATTAGGGTCTTTGTAGAGGTTCTCAAACTTATTTTACCTGCAACCCCATTTTTTAGCAAAAAAAATTATTCACCACCCCCCTGGAATTGTTCCTTCTTTGATAAACAAGGTGTCCCCCCCAGTTGCACCCAAGCCTGCTGCTGCAACCCGAGATTGATTTAGTGCCTGCCCAGGGAAGGGGCAGCCCATGTTCAGAAACTCTGGTCTAAGGTAAGGTTGGTAAGTGTGTGGGGCTGAGGGTAGGTAAGATAGAGAAATGACAATAATAGCCGGAAATGATCACGCTGGACAAGATCTGAGAGTTACAAGTAGGTAAAGGGGTATTCTTGATAAATTTTTAGTATCAATATTGCAAACCACAATGCCCAAAAGTGGGTGGGGAAGGGAGAGGGACGGAGGGAGGGAAGAAAAGGACCTGCCATAGAGGCAGTTGGGGGTGGGGGGTGGCGGAAGGGAATCTGAGGACACTGGCGCTGGGAAATATACACTGGTGGAGTGACGGGTGATGGAACATTGTGTGACTGAAATCTAATCATGGACAGGGTTGTAAGGGTCTATCTCAAGTCATTCAATAAAAAAATAAAAATAAAAAAATTTTAAAAAAAAGGTAAGCTTGGTAGCTGTGACAGGTATGGAGCAGTGTCAGGTCATGGCACAGACAGGGATATTGTGCGGTGAGATTTATTTATTTATTTATTTGTTTTAATTTTTATTTGTAAAACACCATGAGGTACAGTTGTAGACTTACAATTTTTTGTGCTTGGGTTTCAGTTATACAATGATCGAGTACCCATCCCTCCACCAGTGCCCATTCTCCACTACCACTGATTCCAGTATCCCTCCCACCCCCCACACCCCCTCATCCCACCCTGCCTTTGTGGCAGGGCATTCTCTTTTGTTCTCTCTCTCCTTTTGGGTGTTGTGGTTTGCAAAGGAGGCATTGAGTGGCAATCACGTTCGGTCTATAGTCTATTTCCAGCATGCATCCCCCATCATGGACGGATCTTTCTAGCACCCTTTATTTGGTGTGCGGTGAGATTTATTTAAGGTCCAGCGTCAGTGGTGAGTTTATAATGGACCTTGGCCTGGATCTTTCACTGTTGGTGAGTCAGGTTAAGGTAAAATTGTTGAAAGGTTAGAATTGATAGATTTTAGAAGTGACTGGATTTGTTTTCTCCAAGTGTAGTATGAGAGTGGGGAGATATATATGGGCCACCCCCTGCAGTCCTCAGGCTTACTCCTGGTTCTGTGTTCAGCGATCACTACCTGTGGGGCTCAGAGGATCAGATTGGTCACAGATCAGTGATATGTGATGCTGGACATCAAACTGGGGTTTTCCACATGCAAGACAAACGTTTTAATTCCTGTACTATCTCTCCAGCCCCCAAATGTAATTTTTAAAAATTTTTCCTTCTATAAAATTCTGTCTCAGTTTTTTAAATTATTATATTGTTATTATTATTATCTTGATTGTGTCACACCTAGAGGTGCTCAGGCCTTACTCCTGACTCTGTGCCCAGAGCCTTCCTTGGGTGGACAGGAGCACCATATGCAGTGTCAGGGTCGAACCCAGGTTAGCTTCATGCAAGACAAATGCTTTACCCACTGGACTGTATATTTGGTTTTTAAATGAATCCCTGACACAGGCAGTAATCGGGAGGCCCATAGGCCCCACTGGTCAGCTGACAGGGTTGGTGGCTCAGTGTAAGGGCCCAAGGGTGCAAGAGATTACCTGGGTCACCTCTGGTTCGGGGACCTCCAGGCCATACCTGCCAGGGGACCATTTTGTGGCTTGACATGCACCCATACCACTATACCATCTCCTAAGCCTTGTACAGTTGTTTTTACAAATACTCCATAAAGCAATGGCCTTCAGCTGGAGTGTTTATACTACTTGAGTTTTACAAAGCCTGTACCTGGATTTCAAATTCGCAGATGACAGTGAGAATTTTTTCTTTTCGGTTATCTCTATATACTATCTAAGGTATATTTCCTTCCTAAAACGGAGTTGCTGCAAAGGCTTTGCAGGTTGTCCTAGGTAGCTTGTCTTTCACAGCTGCCTCTCTTCCTCTTTCCAAAAGAAATGTTTGCTGTTGTGGATATCCCTAAAGTACAGAAAATCTCCAAGGCATCAAAGACTAGTTTGAAATATGAAGTCTCTGGGGGGTATGGTGCTGCCAGCAAATCAATCTGTACCTATGAGGCAAGTGCATCAGCAGCCTGATGGCGCCTTCAGAATTCCAGATACCCCAGAATTGCTGCTGTGCCTTTGGCCAGACCCCAAAAACTTGGGGCAAAGTTTACCAAGAAAGTAAACGGCCAAAAGTTAGGTATGTGGGAAACACACCCACAAGCCACCTCCAGCTCAGCTATATAACTGGAGGCATGGCCTCTCTGGTTCCTGATTGAACTGCTTAATAGCCATGATCCCAGAGACTTAGAAACAAATCTGGAAACCCAGCGGCTTTTGGCAGAAATGCGTCCAGTCCCTGCAGTAGGTTACTGGTGCTGGGCCAACCCAGGTGGGAATAGGTTTCGTGCCTTGGCCTGTTCCCCTTGGCGGCCTGGTGGCCTCCATCCTTCAGAGGCCACTGGACAGTCAGGTTTGTGCCCCCAGTGACGAGACATGCGGGGCCTTGTGGGATGGGGGTGGAGCCAGTCCTGTCCTCCCCACCCCAGTGAGACCCCAAGTCATTGCCCACGAACGGCCTCTCTGGCTCCTGATCAAGCTGCTTAATGGCCATAATCCCAGAGATTCAGAAACAAATCTCAAAATCCAGCGACTTTTGGCAGAAATGCGTCCGGACCCCGCAGTAGGTTATTGTTGCCAGGCTACCCCAGGGGGAAAAGAGTGTTGTCCCTCGCCTGCTCCCCCTAGGTGGCTCTGTGGCCACCATACTCCAGAGGCCACTGGATAGTCAGGTTTGGGCCCTCAGTGACGAGACATGCGGGGCCTTGTGGGATGGGGGTGGAGCCGGCCCTTTCCTCCCTGTCCCAACAAGATCCTGAGTCGCCGCCCATGAATGGCCTTTTTGCTCCTGATCAAGCTGCTTAATGGCCATGAGCCCAGAGACTCAGGAGCAAATCTCGTAACCCAGCAGGTTTTGGCAGAAATCCCTCCAGATTTAAGTGTTAAAATTTTGGAATTTCAAAATTGCGCGGCCACTACTGCAGCCACGCGACATCATGTTATTCATAACCAGCAATAGAAAACAAATTGTCTACTCTTGCCTTTTCAGCAGATCTGAGTGTTGGGGTAAAATCTCAAATAATAATGGTGGGTCTGGTGTCAAAATATTGAATGTGATCAAAATAGAGAGCAATGTGGAAATCATCTGCCTCACAGGTAGGGGGAAAGTGTGGGATGGGGGTATACTGGGGCTTTTGGTGGTGGAGAATGGGCACTGGTGAAGGTGTGGGTGTTTCATTGTATGACTGATACTTAGACCCAAAAGCTTTGTAACTGCTCTCACGGTGATTCAATAAATAAAATTATAAAAAATTTTTAAAAAAGTAAGGTGGAGTTCATGCACAATTCAACAGCTAATCAGTGGCTGAATAAGTAACAGTACTCCTACATTAAAAAAATGAAATATGAAGTCTCTGATAAGCCTACTCAAACCTAGAAACCGACTTTTTTTTTTCCTTTTTGGTTTATACCTGGTGATGCTCAGGGGTTACTCCTGACTCTGCTTTCAGGAATTAC